TTTAAAATGGGATTCAGATCTGGAGAAAGGTCATGGCCAGTCAGTGCAATATGATTCATCATACCACACTGCTGGGCATGTCATTTTATTTCTAAACACATTGGGCAGTTTTTGACTAAATTATTTGAATGCATATTTCACATGATTGCTCTCTGCTTCCCCTTAAAAAAAATCAGTTGCAACAGTTTACTAGAAATAAAACTAGTGGCAATCTTATTTTTACTTTACAAAAAAGACATGCACACAAAAGTTTATTACACTGGTGGATGTAGGACTAAGCTCTGATTAAGCACGCCGAGTGACAATGTTTATTGATCAGTAAAATTCAGCAAAAATAAATTTATACTCACCCACACTCCACAATACTATTAGCTTTTAACAATGGTCAATTTTGTTTTAAACAAAAAGGCTTTCTCATTCTAATATGGGAAAGTGAAGAATATATAAAAAATAAGATCAGAGATGAAAGTGAGTTTGTATACAACATTGAATTTTTATGCAGTTATGTTTTATTCTTAATGAAGGTACGGGGAGGGGGCTTGATTTCATTAATGCAGCGGGAACTGGATCTCTTTGTTAGCTGAGTGGCAGATGTAATAGTGCGCATGTAGTCTAATGCTGCACCACACACTGTCTGGAAAGCAGAATGAAGCTGCAGGTGCTAAGAACGCAGATGCAACCTGCTTAGATTATAAATTGTGGCTCAGGCTAAGCCGCAGGAGTGTTACTTCTCTTGAAACAAATGTTGAAAAGGCATATAGATTTGACACATAAGAATTGTAATAGGGATTTCACTACCAAAAATAATTAAGTCATAAGCATTCATTTTGGAACGTATTTCAGAGGATCCTTTTCAATACTGCAATGTTAAGAGAAATAACTATTCAAACCGAAATAACATGTTAATGGTTTGACAATGAAGACTAAAATTTAAACTGCAGGATCTGTTTTTGCACTATGCACATATTGCTTAATTAACAGCCAGCTGTTCACGCAGAAAAAAAAACTGCCTCGCGGTTAAAGCACGTTGGTACAATTGGTAAATAAAAAAAGCCGGCACCCACTCACTGCATTTAGTTGCTCGTTTAATGGTGGCACTGGCAGATGACTGGAACAACAACAACAAGATTCCATTTATTGAGAGCCTTTCACGTCGGGAGGACGTCCCAAGGCGCTGGACAGTTGGGTCGGGACCCGAGCAGGGGGGAAATGGTCAGGGTGAGGGGAGGGAAGGGAGGGAGCGAGGAGGGGGTAGAGAGTCGAGAGGGGAGCTGAAGGCACGGTCAAAGAGAAAGGTCTTGAGACCGGCCTTGAAGTAGGAAAGGGAGGAAGTGGCGAAGGCACTGGGGGATAGAGTTCCAGAGCCTAGGGGCTGAAGGCCCGGCCACCGTTGGTAGGGCGGTTGGGGCGGGGGACGTGGAGCAGACCGGAACCAGAGGAACGGAGGGTACGGGCAGGTAGGTAGGGGGATAGTAGGTAGGAGAGGTAGGAGGGAGCAAGGCCATGAATGGCCTTATAGGTGAGGATCTTGAATTCGATCCTCTGGGGGATGGGGAGCCAGTGGAGGCGAGCGAGGGTGGGAGTGATGTGGTCCCGAAGCCTGGTGCGGGACAGTGGAGACATCTAGAGACATGTCTTCTAGATGTCTCAAAGCGCTTCACAGAATATACTGTAAAGTGAATTGAACGTATATTTGTGGGCGAAACGCGGCAGCTAATTGTATAGCATCTTTCAAGCAGGATGAACCTTATGTTATGGTTATAGTTTCAGCATAAGCACACTCGCTGCACAATGAAAAGAATCTATGTTCAAACTATTTCTAAATTACTGAAATGTGTACCTTTCAGGAGCCTTAACGTATATTGCAACACAGGTATGATTTTCAACAGACATTCCTGTATCAGTGAAAAATCAGTTTACAGAGACAGATGAAAATTACTCTGTCACACAGTTCAAATTAAACATAGAATAGACCACCATTAAACTTCCTTGCAATGTCATGTTACTTTGGAGGTTTACAACCAAATCCTATTAAGAGACAAGAATAATGAAAATATTGGTAAACGAATTTCTCAGGTCTGTCAGGGTTTTAAAATTGCAACCAAATGCTAATAATCAAAGATTAAAAGGGTGTTTCACTTTGGGAAGAATTTCACTTTGAAGCTGCTGTTTCTTCAATCCACCGTTGTTTAATCAACAACCTAATGACGCAATATGGTAGTTTGGAACTTTGCAAATCAATTACTTCTCAATTTGATACAAAGTAACATGAGGAAGACATTCAGTTCACCAACGACATGAGGAATCTCCCATTCATAAGGCACAATAATAATAATATTAATAATAATATTCCTTGCATTTGAAATAGTGCCTTATCACATCGTTGAGACATCTCAAAGCGCTTCACAGAATATACTATAAAGTGAACTGACGGTATATTTGGTGGGCAAAACGCAACAGCCAATTGCCCACAACAGTGTCCCACAAACAAAACAGTCGTGGATTGAGTGACAATTTTTTTTGGAAGGAATTATTACCCCTGGAAAAGCGATCCGCCAATCAACTAACAACCAAGTTCCTACTTACTGCTAAAAGGCGTGTGGAGTAAGGAAACCTGTCCAACATTTCGTCCTGCCAGGAATCAAACCCAGGTCTCTCGCTTGCGAGGCGAGTGCTCTAACCACTGAGCTACAGGACTCCACAAGAGATAGGATAAGAATCAGAAGGAAGGTTATCTACCCCAGAATGATTTTGTTTAACTTCAGTGCTCAGGGACATGCTTAAATTGCACAGATACAATAATAATAATACTTGCATTTGATATAGTGCTTTCCATGTCTTCTTGACATCTCAAAGCGCTTCACAGAATAGACTGTAAAGTGAATTGACTGTATATTTGTGGGCGAAATGCGGCAGCCAATTGCACACAGCAATGTCCACAAACAGCCTTGGATTGAAAATGACCAATTTATTATTGTTTTGTTTTTTGGAAAGATTATTATCAGACATGTGGAGTAAAGAAACTTGCCCAAGGTTTTGCCCTGCCTGGAATTGAACTCAGGTGTCTCGCTTGCAAGGTGAGTGCAACAACTGAGCTACAGTAGGACTCCACAATGAGAGAACTTGATTCACTCTCCACACAGCACATTGAAGCACTGAACTTAACAATTGGACTTGCCATTAGCAGTTAGCAGCCAATTCAAAACAGAATCAAAGAAAAAGTATTGATAGAAAATTTTAAAAAATTAAAAACACAGAAATGTCACCACTAAAAATTGGGACCAAAGCCTCCTTTAATTATTGAAGAGCCCATCCAATTCATTTTGCCACACATGCAATGCACAAATTGGATCAGTGATGAATAATTCACACATTTGGAGTGGGCTATGTCTGCAAACAGCAAATTCCTGATCTCAGCTACCCAGGCAGTCAAACTAGTTTCTAATTTGAATAGAAACAAATCACCCGTTCCCTCGCCACTCCCAGTCCATTCTAGTAGGTGCATAGCAGAAGCGAAAACTTTTAAACAGAGCAAGTTACATAAAAAGTACATGTCAAAGAACTTTAATTTATGTGGCAGCTAATTTGCATCTGTAGTATCTTACAAACAATGAAGTAAACAACGTATTCATTTGAAACTGGAGAGTATTTGGACAGTGAGGGAATAAAATAATACCCAGGAGAAAAAGCTTCAGGTTTCTATGAAATAGTAACAATGGCTATTAACATTCATCTGAATCATAAGGGAGATGGGACTTAATTTAATAACAATCAAAGAAGGTAATATCTGGAAATGAATAAACTTTAACATTTCAGGAAAGAAAAATGGAAATTTCAAAACTGGAAGAGAAAGGAAGTATAAGGGGGGGGAATAGAAAACTAAAATGGAAGACAGAAAAGGGCAAAAATACCAAGAAATCACATCTTAAAACAACAACAAAAATCTGGGGGCTTTATTAGAAGTTAGAAACTATCCCAAAGTTCAAGATCAAGAGGAAATGCAAAAATAAAAGAAATCATAAAATGGCATAATATCTCCTCCTACAGGACTAATTGGTTACTGCAGGAAGATGTCATCAGTGTTAACACTGGGCATTCTGTGCATTTTACTTTGCATTCTCACTGCAGTGCTAATAAAACCAAAACGAATTTTGTTAATGGAAACATTTGTTTCAATAGCTAATGCATTTCAGTAGGAATGGGATTTAAATTATAGAACAAGTAAAGTTCATCTAAAATATGGGTGGCGAAGAGCCACTCAGTCAGCATAAATTATGCATTGAAACAAACCACAGAGTAATGCACTTATAAATATGAAAACCTAAAAAACGATGTTAATTACAAAAAGATAAAAGAAGCACATTGTTTCTCCCAGGCAGAACAGGGCAGCCATTTAGACCCCCAAAGGCAGGTTTTATCCCAGTATGTACCAGGAAAGTTGAATTAGAATTAAAGCAGAATGAAAATTCACAGAAATGAAACTATGAATTAGAAAGAGAGCAGTGAGTATCCTGAATTAAATCTCTAAAAACTGAATCTAAATAATAACAATAATACTTGTATTTGACATAGTGCCTTATCATGTCATCAAGATGTCTCAAAGCGCTTCACAAGATATACTGTAAAATGAATTGACAGTGTAATTCGTGGGCGAACCTTTGACCACTGGCTCTACAGGGCCCCAATACATTTAACCACAAGTCCAAAGCGCATCAGTTTATTAGAACTCCTCAAATTGTTTCAGTGCAAAGAACTGAGGCTCCCCACTCCTCTACCTCAGTTGAACAGTTGAGTGGTATTCACTTTCTACTCAAATATGAAAAATCACACTAAAATAAGGTATCAAATCGCACAGCTTCCTTGGCCATGTACCCCAGCCAATGTATCCAGAAAAAGAAGGAAATGGAATCTCTGCTCCATTTCTCATGGAAATATTCTACAACTGAATCTGGATTTTTGGACCTTTGTAGGATTCGGCAGCATAAAACGGTATCACTCACTGTACTTTTGTCCTTCAGTAACTTTTCGATGATCTCAATTAGTGGTTCTTTCTGTTCTGGATCGAGGCTGTAGGTGCAAAAAAAGGATCAAGATTGCAACAATGCACATAAGAAGCTTGAAAGTAATTCTAAAATTTTCATTGCATTCCTGCAGGGCAATTCGCCTGCCCTTTGATATAGTTGGAGTCTAGTCCAGCAACGGTAACTAAAACACTAGGGTGTTGCATCAAGCCATATATTTGCCTTTTTTTTATGGATGGTCTAAAAAAACCATGGCTCAGTAAGTGACTGTTAATTCTGCATTTATAACTCTGCATACAGATCTGAGTAATTTTATATGGGAATGAGTTGGGAAAGGACCATACTTCATCTCTAGTATTGTCTCCAATACAATCTCAGGACACAAACATTCTTGTAAGGAATTCATAGTATAATTGAGAATAATTGCTGACTTGTTGGGGCGAATGGCCAGTTTCTGTGTTGTAAGTCTAAACAATTTTTATACCTTTACCCACCTGTAAAGCTTTTGAATGGCATGAGCAGCAGTTTTTCTGACGTATGGAGACAGGTCACTGGCAGCCTCCTTAATGGACAGCATCATTATTGGAACAATAATTGGAACTCGGATACTGGACAGAACTCGGAGAGCACTGGCACGAATCAACTGATTAGGATCCTACAAAGAATAATAGAACAGAATACACATGAAGGTATTTTCACAAACTATATTTCAGAAAGGAGTATCTCACTCTCCAATCCACTTGTACCTCCCCTACCACCAACCCCCAAAACAAAAAACAGGAGAGCATCAACTCACCCCAGAATGCAATTTCATAAACGACGGTAACTTGATCAAATAATTATTGCATTTAGTGATATCCCAAACCACTTCAGCAGGTATACAGGGCAAATCAGAAGTCCTTACTCATAGAGTTTTTAAGTATTAATTGTTTTTTACTTCAACATTCATAGAGCGTGCAGCTATTACAAAAGATATCATTCATCACATTTGTGAAAGTTCTTGTCATCGAGTTGATGTGTGTAAACGTCTACACGTCATGCAGTTTAAACATCTCATTTGTAGGAGTAAGGACTTATGATTCACCCTGTATACTTGAGGAGATATCACAACTGAATCCACCACACCACACACAAGTGCACATTCTTTCTGGAGAGGACCATTGGATCAGAACCCCAGAAGCAATGTTTCCACTTCTTCAAGAATACTAAGCTCAAATGCAACACCCCAGCACCACCTTGACAGAGAATGGCTAATTCAGCAGAGATCGGCGATCAAACCTGAGCCTAGCTTCCTCTCTAGTTCAATTGCCCCAACACAGTGTAACTACACACATTTTTAAAAACAAATTTAAAGGAAATGAAATAGGAAATTGTTCAGAATGCTAAAATAATAAATAAAATTTATTCTGAAAGTTAAAATGTAAATACAATTGGCATTTATTGCTTTCTTCCCTGATTTTATGCTTTGAATTGTTATATTTTAAGACTCTTAAAATTTAGAGCCTAGGCTCTTGTAATTAAATAACAAAACCTTCCATTTCATATGTTGACTGTGGTCGACATATCTCAAAACTGCTTCACACAATGAGTCAGTTTGAAGCGTGACAATAGATAGGTACTCAAATGTGGCATCTAATCTGTACCAACCACAAACTAAAAATAATAAGGCGAATATCTAAGCGTATGAGATCAAGTGAAACAGTGTTCTCACTCTCCATCCCTATCCGGTGACTCAAAAATGTAACTATGAACATTAGGTGAAGGCAGGATCCGATTGATTTATATTCAAGTAGCCTCAAACACGCACATGAAGTATGGCCACCTGAGCGAGCAATTATTCTGAATTAAAGTGTTCCATACCACCTATTGCCACCCTCAGTGGAGAAGGAGTGAGGAGAGGACTTCAAGGAGGAGCTTAAAAAAAAGAGATTAGCAAACCTTTCGGGTGCATTTCTAAAATTATTCATGCATCACTTTTAACTAAAGTTACAAAATACATTTTCAATACTATGTGCCGATTTTTCATAACATTTTCTACTTAACACTGCTTCATGAAGTCTTCACTTCACAAGGTGCAAATGTTTGTGCCATTTATTCACAGAACTGGATACTATGGAGATACACGTAGAGAACTGAAATAAACCTGAACAATTTAAAATGCAAAATCACTGTTCAATAAACATTGAAAAATGAACTAAACACTCATAATGCTGCAAATTGGTGTTATATTAACAGTACTTCAAGCAACATTTGCAAATCTGTTGAAACTAACCTTCAATGCACGCTGAAATGTGCTGATCGACAGTAGGGCCAAATCTTGTTGCTCTTCCGCATAGCGTACAAGGTAAACATATACTAATTTCTTTAACTGCAGAGACAGATACACAAAATATATTTACAGCTAGTTCATTAAACATGGCAACAAATGCAGCTTGTAGTAAAATTTATAATTTAGGCTTTTAAATCTGATGTGCTTGAATTATATAGAGGCCTACTATGTTCAACATTATTCAGCTAAACACAAGACAAACTTCAGTACATTTCATTGGCCATTGTGTACATAGAATAAAAGTATTCTGTGTAAAAAATAAATTGGCATTACACTACATGGGTTAATTTATTTATTTACTGGACAAAACTGCAATTCAAGTAATCTAATGTGAACTGTCTGATTTCAATGTTCATAAATTATATAACCTGGCCAAAGATCATCACTAATGAGTCTATAATCTATAGTCGATGATAAAAGACTCGATCTTAAACTCTACTGAAATAAAATCAGTCACATGACTACATTACCCTCCAAATGTGCAAAACCCTTAGCACAATATTCATGAATAGCACTTAAGGCTTTTGTAGGATTAAGACAACCACACAGATATAAATGTTGGATTACATTGAAATGTAAAGTCACCTTCCACTACACTAAAATAGCTGTGATCATCCTCAATTTGCACGTGCTTGGCCTACGGAACAGATATTTAGAGCAAGATTAAGCTTTTTGTATTTAGCCTACACAGATGAGCCAGGCAGGCCGGCCAATCATCAGCGGTGTCGTGGAGTACTGCAAATGTGCCTGGCTCGAGCATTGGATCACAGATCACAGTTGACTCAGTTTCGTTCTCCCTTCACCAGGTATGTCACCTTGCAGCCAGCTGAATCTCAGAGAAAGCCCGCTTGCCTCACCTTCCCCTGCCTCCACAATAATAGTCACAACTTGGTCCTCAAACAACTAAGCCCGGGTTTGAGCTCTCATGAGATGCACAAGGGCATCAAGAACTCATCCTAAGCAGCTCTGTAAGCAACACACCTGCATATAATACAAGAGCACATTACCACTGCCAGGAGACACACTATAATATAATGAATTTCAACTCCAGCATTTTGTGGTGTTAAGCCTCAGCTTTAGATGCCTAGAATTCTGCACTAAACCAGAGTAACCACAAAATCCCAGAAAAACACATGCTCATGAAACCACTCCCAGTATCACCTTCTAAATCTATCTCACAAGTTTGGACCTGGATTTTATCCACAAGTCATAGGAACCTTTCACTGTATGCCTAGGTACTCTAATTCAATAAAGCAGAATATTTGGAAACGCTAGTTAGCATGCTATAAACTAATGCTCAACAACGAGTCACAAATGTGCAACTTTCACTCACTTGGTAAAGCTGCTGCCTAGGATAAAACTGAAAGAGACCAGAATTACAACAGGTTTGATTCTTTGTCTGACTTCTGCTGATAGCTAGCTTCAAAGAGTCAATAATGGAGAAGGGTATTAATAATAATTATCTGATATAGCACCATTTGATATTGCAGTTTATCACGTTGTTGAGACGTCTCAAAGCTTTACAGAATATATTGTAAATTAGATTGACTGTATATTTTGGGGGCAAAACATGGTGGCCAATTGCACACAATGGTGTCCCACAAACAGTCGTGGATTGAGCGACTATTTGTTTTAGCCATTTTTGTTAGGGATATTACCCAGGAAAGCAATCTGGGAGTCATAACAGGTAAATAAAGAGCAGAGAAGTAAAAACATCCAGGTCTCCTGCTGCTAAATGCTATCTGGTGAAAAATGCTATCTTGCTGAAAAATGCCCAAGTGGGTGTCCACTGAGGACAGGATCAGGCTCAGCTTTGATGCCAAGTTAAATAGCCTGCCAATTGTCCCCATCTTGGTTCACATACGAACAAAATATGGCACACACTATTTTCACTCCCTCAATATGTACTGTCCCCCAACAGCAGTCACTGCATTCACATGAGAAAATTGAGTGAAAATAGTGTATACGAATCAGTTTTTACATGAAGAAATGCATTCCATGATCTATAATCTTAATGGGATAAAATGAACAGAAACTGCATAAAAGATGGTTTCAAAAATATTGTATTTAGAATTATTTTAGGTTATCACAATTTGTGCCTCTCCCTTTCTGCACAGCAGCCCAATATTAAATCACAGAAGATTGCAAAACAGTCGATTTGTTCTTGTCTTGGTGTAGATTAGATAAAATCAATGCTAACCACGAGAGACCTATGGATCGTCTGACTGCAGTTCTGAGTGAAAGCCTCCTTTCCCAAAAAAACAATGTGTGACCAGAAACAGGAGCACTCAAGGCGACGTGACTAGGCTCCCAGACCAAGCGTTATTTCTCACAGTCCTACTATGCTTCCTGATGTGATTCTAATCAGAAGACTACTGTGTTAGGCATTAAAAACACAGGCAGACCTGCCAAAGAAAGCAGTTTAATTGATCCATCAATACTAGTGCACTAAACTCCGTGACATACTGGTCAAATCTCCGATTTTTTTTTTAAACTGTACCCTGGTGATTCTTTAATGTTAATTTTGGACTCATTTCTATTCTCTAAAAATGCCCCATCCTGTGACCCAGTTTGACTATCAATGCAGCGCACTCATTTAAAACTCTGCATAATCTTACCCACCAGTCATTATACTATATCAACTCCACTAAATACAGCTGAAACTCCATCTCTAACCAACTTAGGAAAAGAAGAGTGGAACAAAGTACCAGAAAACAAATACTATTCAGGCATCAGCTTGGCTCAATTGGTAGCAATTCTCGCTTCAGGGTCAGAAGATTGTGGGTTCAAGCCCTACAATGGACCTTTGAGATCAAAGTCTAGGCTGTCACCAATGCAGTGCTTGATCGTCAAAAATGCTGTCCTTTACATGACAGATAAACTGAGATCCTGTCTGTTTTTTCAGGTGGGCGTTAAAGGTCCAATGGCACTATCTGAAAAGGAATCTCTCCCAGTGGCCTGGTCAACAACCTCCAAGACAATCTCCAAAAAATGGTAAATCACTTCATGGCATTATTGTGCAAAAATTGGTTGTCATGTTCGTCTACTGATATATAGTCACTATACCCTACAGAAAATGCAAACGTTTGAAACATTTCAGTGTGCTGCAAAGATTATTATGATGCTATCAATTAAATAAAGTAAAGCACATCATCGCATTAAAATGACACAATGGAATATTTTGCACTGATTTGTTGTATGTAAACCATTAAGTACATGTTCTGAAGCCCTTGAAAGGTGTGGGTCAAGTGTACACAGACTACACTTGTGTTAACATACCTCAATGTTTTTACTAGCTACATTCTTCACAACAGCAGGAAATAACTCAGAGGCATTTTTTCCTTTAGCAATCATCTGTAAATAAAGAAATATACGCGATTTCAGTAACAGCTACTCAAAATATGTATGTACACAGAAAGAGATCCTTTTATCAACATGTAGTTTTTAGACCAGAATCATTGGACATAATTGACATGTACGTTTAAGCCAATTATTATTAAGCACTTCAAGTTGGAATGACAACCAATGGGTTAATTCCTGATGTTTGTTTGGGGAGGAAGCTCAGAGGGCCACTTATCAGTGGTTCTGAGTGTTATGCGTCCCGTGATCCAATGTGCTATGGTAGGTTAAAAAACAGTTTTCCACATTAGTTCACATATTATTTGCAAATGTACATTTTACAACTACAAAGCCTCTCGTATTGTAAAAAGCAGTATTCATTCCGAGGGCTCAGGACAAACTGATGTGAATATAGTGAATCCTCTCTTGAAACTACACAGTACAAACATGAACCTGACTTCAGCTCCTCAGTTGTTATAATTGCCATGCAACAGTTCAGTTGCATATTTTTGGGAGAAGAAATTATTGCATTTGATACATTGAAAAATAATGTTCCCAATCTAATTTCTCAAAAAAGTAATTAAGATAAATATCTGAAAATGTTCTCTTTAGAGCACCCCAATACTGGTGTTTTTAGGCACTAAACAAATTTTTAAAATCTCCCAGAAGCTGTTCCAAACTATGCTAGATGAATCCATTTCTTCACTTTCCCTTTGCAATTCAAAACTTTGTTCAAGTTCGTCAGATCCGACAACACCCATTGCCCGAAGCACGTTGATCCACTGCATACGCAGCACAGAAAGCCAAGGCTTGTATTGATTATGTTGCTGAAATAAAAGGCTGAATCCAAAGTGTAAGATTTCAGTTATAGACATGTGGGATATGCTCAGAATCAATATGGTACTCATCTTCCAGTATATTTGAAAGAAGCCATTTCTCTCTCGTAATTATCTTAACAGAACCTAAAAATCTAGTTGCTAGTATTGACTGGACAATATGTAACAATATGTAACTAACCCAATAGATCTAAAAACAGATTATTCTATGCAGCAGATGGCCTCAATCAAGGCATCTTAATTTACAAGTCGCCCGCGGAGAATTGCCCCTGATGAACTCTGAAGATCCCCTCTTTGTCAGATGGTGTCAACCCATCATTGGGCAGCTTCTGTCAGAAGCACTGAAACAGAGGTATCTCCAAATTAGTTTACATAACCCGGTTATTTAGGCACAATTTGTCATAAAAAGTCATATAAATTAGGATTCCTCTTTGTGCCATCAGCACACTTATTTAAGTTGCACTTATTTAAAATGAATAGTAATAATCATGTTAATTTTTTTACCCCAACTATTCTCTTCATAGCCTCCAGTTTAAGGGAATCCTTGCTGCTCTCCAACATCTGATGCAGATCTTCATTTCTGGAGTAAAAAAGGAAAAAAGATTACTCCTACACCCACATATTCAACTACACAGAAAATAAGGAATAGGAAATTGCTTAAGGGTTCAAAAATGGCTCCCACAATGCCCTTAATGGGTAAGGTATTAACAGGTACAATACTGGACTACACAATAAAAGATTGCAGGTACGAAATTTGGGTGTGTGTTAGTTTGCTGATTCTAGTGACCATGGAAGATTGAAGGGCAAAAATCAGTCAGGATTTCTGCTACTGATGGCTATCGAGAAAGTACTCCCAAAAGCTGAACCGTAAGTAGATACAATACAAAATTACATTTGTATAGTACCTTTCACGTCAGGAGGACATAGCAAGGCGCTGGACAGTCAGGGATTTGGACCCGGGCTGGGGGTCGGGATCAGAGAGGGTAGAGGTCAGGGTGGGTAGCCAAAGAGGAGGGTTTTTAGACGAGCCTTGAAGGAGGCAAGGAAGAACCGAGGCGAAGGGAATATGGGATTGATATTCCATAGGGTGAGGGCAGCAAGGCTGAAGGCCCGACCGATGATGGTGGGGCGGGCTGGGAGGGGGAATTGTGGAAAAGGCCACAGCCTGCTGAAAGGAGGGAGTGGATAGATTGATATGGGGTCAGCAGGTCACAGCGTTAGGGAGGAGCAAATCGTGGAGGGCCTTGAAGGCGAGGACGAGATTTGTGAACTCTATCCTCTGGGGGATGGGGAGCCAGTGGATCCGGACAAGGGTGGGATTGATGGGGTCACGGAGCCTGGTGCGGGTGGACGCCAACTGCAGACTTCTGGATGATCTGTAATTTGTGGAGATTTGGGGAGGTGGACAAGCAGTGAATTGACATAGTCGAGCCTAGATGTGATGAATGCGTGATGAGGGATTCAGCGGCCTGTGGGGTGAGGCAGTGGTGGAGCCGGGCGATGTTGCGGAGATGGGGGTTATGGCACTGATGTGGAGTAGAAAGGACAGTTGAGGGTCAAACAAGACGCCAAGGTCCTGGACTGGCTCAGTGAGGTGGAGTGTTCACCTCTGGATATCATGAATGCGTGGACGAGGGTTTTGGCGGCCTGAGGTCTGGAGGCGGTGACAACCAGGAGAGCCTCGGTTTTGTGGACATTCAACTGTAGAAAGCTAGCTCTAATCCAGGACTTGATGTCTGACAGATATTCTGTCAGGACAGCAGTGGTTCTGGAGTCGAGCATGTAGGCAGAGATATAAAGTTGGGTGTCATCTGCATACATGTGAAGACAAGATTATTGGGCAATGACATTTTTACACAAAAAATGGCCAATTTCAGGGTTATTGGGTCGTCATCGATGTCACTTCTTGCTATGCGCATGCGCAGTAAACAAAAAGTGACTCCAGCAATGACACAATGACCTAAGTCATCAGGTCTTGATAAACTTTCTTCCTCAATGAAGTGCTGTCCATGATGTCCATTATTTCTGAGAAAGAAGGAAGTTTCTCCCAGTGCCCTGGCCAAACAATTCCCTAAATAAATTCATCCCTCACTCCCTGGCTGTTTGTGGAAGATTCCGTACGGAAACTGGCTGATGCATTCGCCATCAAAATACACACAGTCACTGCACTTTGCAGTATATCCTGAAACGCGTTTTGAAACAACAATGAAATAAGGTGCTACAGTACAAAAGTACATTTGTAAAGTGCTTTTCACATCGGGAGGACGTCCATTTTGCTATATCAAAATGCAAGGATTATTATTTATAACATGTGCAGCCAACAGGAAATGACCATTTCTTAACTGTGCCACAGTGCTGTTCCCGATGGAAAAATCTAAAATGTCTGACAAATTCTCAACAGGGATATTTTGTAGCGATCTGAAGAAAGAATATTAACAGTTAAAAGGTTAGCTTCAACATAATGACCACAATCATTTGATCTAGCATAAACATACCCAATCAAACACGGTTCATTTCCGCAGTTGCTCTCACTCAGTCCCTGTTCCTCTGGACTCTGGGATGGGCTCAGCGTTAGTTGAAGAGTATCTGCAACCAACAGCATATTCTTCACCGAAGCCATTGCATCTAGTCAGACTGGTCTTAACTATAGGAATGGGTTTCTGAATCCTACTGCTTCTCCAACAGCATACTGTGCATGGCACAGTATCAGTCACATGATCATACAACCTGTGATAGGTTAAAACACCCTACATTTACAGTAGCGCCTTTAAAATATTCCAATTCTTGGAACTGCTTCCCTTTGTAAACATTCCACTGCTATCACTAAGTCACAATATCCCTTTTGCACATTTTGGAACTTAATCAGAACAATTCTTCCTGTCTCAATGACCTCTAAAATCTGAGTTTTAAAAATATACGGCAACTAAGTGCAATTTGCTAGATTATGTTGCAACAATGTTGTATAAAGAAAATGAACACTGATAAAAGTTTTTTTAATTTCAACTAAAAGCACTGAGAATATTAAAATACTTGATGAAATCAAATTTGTTTGCAGAACTACCCCTAATAAAGCAATCAGTAAAAGTTATCGGTTTTGATCAAAAAACAAAAAAAGGTCGTAAAACCACCACAAAGTAACAAAGCACTGAAACAAAAGACGCTTTCTAGAAGCAACAGCAGGGAGTGTTCTGAATATGTGGCCTGCGAATTGTTCAACAGGTATTGCACAATAAATAAGGTGAAGGCTTGGTCCAATTTAATAGACAAGCGACTCAAACTTTTCTGCATTCCTGTAAAATAATTATTAGCTTATCCACAAGCCACTGCTTTCATTTTGCTGCTTCATTACACTTATCCTTCTCAGACATCAGAGTCTGGTTATTATTGGCTGCCTGCCATGTTTGCCTACAGAAAGCAGTCACTCCACTTTAGAGGAAGTCCTGCGAAATGCTTTGAAGTGGTTTCCCAAGGTGTAATATCACTTTAAGGGTTAAAGCACAATTAAGAAAAAGCCAATGAGACAAAGACAGGAAGTATAAAAGATTTCTGGGAGTGGAATAAATATGTTTATGGTTAATGGTTTGGAGAGCTTTGAGTAGAGAATAAAGAAACTTAAGATCACACTTGTATGTACTCTGGATTGGGTGTTATTACAAAAGGCACCAAGGATATCATCAGACTACAAGATGAGAGAAAATCACGTGGATTATTTACAAAAAGGTTTTCATGCGCTGAGGGTAGAAAAAGATCGGGAAGTGAGCAGAGTTCCAGCTGACAGGCCTGAGAGACATCGAACATCTAAGCAGTTGCTGGAATTGCAAGATGCAAATCCTTTTGCGTATCTTGGAAATTAGACTCCATTGCACCCGTGATTTCCTGATCTTGTAGTTGAGAACAGGCTTACCCTTAGGTAGTTAACTTCCACATGTATGCGGATGACACCCAACTCTACCTTTCCTCCTCTACTCTCAACTCCACGACCACCGATGTCCTGACAGCTGCCTGTCCGACATCGAGTCCTGGACGATAGACAACTTTCTTCAGCTCAACGTGCGTAAACCTGAGGCCCTCCTGATTGGCTCACGTCAGCGCCTCCGCACCTCAGGCGCTGACAGCATCAGCATCCAAGGCTGCACTCTCCACCTCTCAAAGACAGTCAGGAACCTTGGGGTTCTGTTCGACCCTGAGCTGTCCTTTCTCCCTCATATCCGCTCCACAACTGGCACCGCCTTCCATCACCTCCGGAACATCGCCAGATTACGGCACTACCTCACCCCTCACGCTGCTGAAACACTGGTCCACGCCTTTGTCACCTCAAGGCTGGACTATGGGAACTCTCTCCTCGTCGGCCTTCCCGCCACCTCCCTCCACAAGCTGCAGGTCATTCAGAACTCTGCAGCTCGTGTACTGTCCCGCACCAGGCTTCGGGACCACATCACTCCCACCCTCGCTCGCCTCCACTGGCTCCCCATCCCCCAGAGGATCGAATTCAAGATCCTCATCCTCACCTACAAGGCCATTCACGGCCTTGCTCCCTCCTACCTCTCCAACCTACTATCCCCCTACCCACCTGCCCGTACCCTCCGTTCCTCTGGCTCCGGTCTGCTCCACATCCCCCGCCCCAACCGCCCTACCATCGGTGGTCGGGCCTTCAGCCTCTCAGCCCCAGGCTCTGGAACTCCATCCCCCAGTGCCTTCGCCGCCTCCTCCCTTTCCTCCTTCAAGGCCGGTCTCAAAACCTTTCTCTTTGACCGTGCCTTCAGCTCCCCTCTCGACTCTCTACCCCTCCTCGCTCCCTCCCTTCCCTCCCCTCACCCTGACCATTTCCCCCTCCTCGCTCCCTCCCTTCCCTCCCCTCACCCTGACCATTTCCCCCCTGCTCGGGTCATGACCCAACTGTGCAGCGCCTTGGGACGTCCTCCTGATGTGAAAGGCGCTTTATAAATGGAATCTTGTTGTTGTTGTTGTTGGGTCAACTTCTCAGAAACCAAATATTTTTGATGGTTGCCCAGGCATGCAAAATAAGACCTTACTGTAGAGCAAGTGCATTCGCAGCCGTCAACCACAATAGAAATGTGCCATCAGATTTGTCAATTCTTTTGAATTGGTGCATGAGGCACCCATGTGGATTGAACTTTGCTAGTGGTACTTGCAATAGAAAACTCAACAAAACACACTCCACTGTTCACTTAGCAATGCATTGGTCAGAAATGTATTCGCTCAATGTTTTATCAGCACATAAAGCAAAGTTATCTAAAACTGTCCAAACCTTTGGCCAATAGGTATGCTTTGTTCCCTCCCCTATATCAGTGATCTCCACTACTCTTGTTTTTTCAGCATTTATCAGCTTCTTTCAGACTGCAAGTACTACTTTCATTGCTCTTACAAAGCAGTGGCCAAGTCACTAACCAAACGGCTATTTCTTACCTTTGACTACTCAACTCTTAGCCCTTTATCATCTATAAAATAGATAGTGGGCAAGGTTCACTGCCTCCTCAGATCTCAAGTGTAATTCCTGTTGTTAAAAGAAGCTTTCATGAAGCTTAGTTTTCTTTTGTTCCAACCACTCCCTTTCCCTTC